TGCTGGAACTGTTCCGGAACTAACGGATCAGTATGAACCCGTCCTTAATCCTGTTTGTGAGCTGCTGGAGATGTTTAATGTACGAATGCTTACTTTGAAGGAGTACATACGATATCTTTCTTCCTTATCTATGAAAATGGGTACATCGATGTATCGATGGTACACCCCTCAATATTTGCAAAAAAAGCAGCTACTCAATTTTAAGGGTAGAATTGGGTACCCCCTGTATCATTGCGAATGGCGGATGGTGGATGAACAAAGATCTGAAAATTCTTTACTCGTACAGACATGCAAAAAAGTATATGTTGCATTATATCATATTTTACTGCCAGAATTCGCAAAGTATTTCTGAATGAAACACAATAAGTACTCTGTGTATTTGGAGATCAAAGAAGAGAAATAGCAAAGGAAAGCATTCCGAGACACGTTTTTCGAAACTCAAGATGTAGGGAATGCGTTTGATTACTCAAAGCCACGAATGCGCAGAAAAACATAGATATTTCAGAGTGCAAATTATATGTACAAATGCAACAATATTCGAATTTACTCGCCATTCTTACTAGATTTTCGGTCTTGGGTAAGTGCTAAAATCTGCTATCGAATCTTAACCTGATGGGCGCAAAGTAAGGGGGAAACGCAGCAATACAGCAATAATAGCAAGCAAATTACTTACAAATACATGGCACGTACTAAGAGGGAAATAACATCAGCGAACACGGATCCACACTGACCAGCGAACATGCAGCTGGCGACCTTGGCACACTTTGCTTGTATCACATATTAGTAGAGACCACTCTTGTGGAGATTTTGTTGTATGATCATCGAAATGACTGAGTCGAGGATCTTCTGAACTTGATCAGTGTCCGTGGCGCAAGTCTCATGCACGAAAATGGTTTTCTTTGGGTTTTGGTTCAGCATTTCGAAACGTTGCTTGATGTACTTGATCGAGTCCTCATACGTTTGCGGACCTAAAAATGTAGCCGATTAGATGAAGCAAGCGAAAAATTGTGCGTTTGACAAAGAATGTGGTGTTTGCATGTAAGTAAAGCAAACGACAAAAATAAGACAGTTTCTATTAGGGTTTTCTACTTCTTTTTCTGCTCAGCAGTTTCGTATGTCTGTGTGAGGAGACGGTTTTCCGCAGTGCGGTCTCCAGCCTGCCCTGATTGACTTGTCTTAACATGTCACGCACGCCGCAAACCTTTC